TATGATATTTCTGCAAAATATCATGTGAGGGACTTCCCACTGTTTCACAACATCCTTTTACATGATGGAATGAACATGGAAGAGTTGCGTGCTGATGACTCAAAAGAGAAGCGAAGTAGAGGCAAAAGTATGCTTGTCATAATGGATTGTCATCATGTTATGAACGTGACATTGTGTCATAATGGTTATGAACGAAACCTTATTCCATGTAATTTACAGTTGTTTTGGGATGTATTTTTAATTTTAACCCAACTTGAGGAATATTAGACCTTGCTTACATTCTGATATTTTGATTTTTATCATAAGTGTATGGGTATGTATTTTAATCAGTATTTTTCTTTTGTATTAATTGTTATGAACGAACTACATATTGTACTCTGAGGGCTTTCCAGAGTTGATAAACATTAAAAACATGTACACAGATACATATTATGAGGAAACTTTCATTTGATATAAAAAATTTAAGTAAATGACAGGTCAAAATATTAATTTTTAGGTCAAAACTGAAGTTTGTCATAATAGTTTCTGATGACAACCCACCATCGGCACGATGATGGATACCGACTTACCATTGTTTTCCGATGACAACCCACCATCAGCACGATGATGGATACCGACTTACCATTGGTTTCCGATGACAACCCACCATCGGCGCGATGATGGATACCGACTTACCATCAGTTTCCGATGACAACCCACCATCGGCACGATGATGGATATCGACACACCATCGGAAACCGACAACAACCCACCATCAGGACGATGTCGGGTTCCCACACACTATCGGAAACCGATGATCACCCAACATCAGAACGATGTCGGATAAATGTGTCTTTCCGATGGTCAGCCGATAGCACCGCTGTCACACCATAGCCTTTACTTTGTCCATGCTCCCATCCCTATTTTATCTTAATCGTTTGATCCTAAAAATAATTCCCTCAATCAAAAGTTGAATCTATGTCTCTAATTCAAGATGTTCTTATAAAATCAACACAAAGGTGTATATATATATATATATATATATATATATATATGTTAGTACAATTTCCCCAAACCTAGACCATGACATGAGTCCATTAACAGTAAGACATGAGACTGCAGCCATGGGTAAACAAGCTCAGCTGTGTGGGGGTTTAGTTTTGGTATAGAGGTTTTACAGCGCTCGCAACTGCATAAGGTCATATGAGCGCCAGAAGTTAATGAGTCATCAGGTTAACAAGGATACTACAGAAGCCTTTTGCTGGAATGTGTGTGTGTGTATGTGTGGGGGAGGGGGGGGGGTGATTTGTTTTGGATGTTTGTGTTGAATGTGTTGAAGTTTGTAATCACACATACCCTGGTGGTCAGGTTACAGAGTGTGGAGTTGGCACAATGATGAAAAACAAACGTCAAAACAGCAGTTAGTTGGTAGTTAGAGGAACGTGAAACTGGTCACTCCTACTTCTTCACCATCCCTTTGCTGATTTTTTGTCTGTTAATTTGTCTCACTTTTGCCCCGTACTGATTGGCTGTAATAATATTTGAAATGATAATAATACTATGATAATAATAATAATAATAATAATTGCTTGATTTATAAAGTACATATATATGTTCTGTAGGACGGGTTAGTGGGGAGAGGAGAGGGTGGGAGAGGGGGAAGGTGGGGAGGAGGGTTGTGAAGGTAAGGAGAGCTCTCTGCCTTTTACAACTTATATTGCCATAGCAGACCTTAGAAGGCTCAGAAACATTCTCAGCTTCCTGGAAAGCATACAGTGTAAGTAATCACTTAAGTGCTCAAGCACTAACAAACTGACAAGATCTTTTGCTGTCTATTGCTTTATATCGATTCCCCCTCGAGTGAAGTGAGAAAAATTTGTTTCAAGTGCGTTTTCCAAGAACACAACATCAAGCCCCTGACAGGGTTTGAACCCACAACCTTTGGGTAAGAAGCGCAACAAGCCACCTAACCGCTAGACCACCAATATCATGCGCTGAGTTCTCACATGGCAATGGCATTTTAGTGCTCTGGAAAAAAAAACAAGATCAAGAAGAGCAGACAAAATTGTCGGACTTTGTTGAATGATTCACACACTTGTTTCTATTCTTCAGGGGTCCTGCCCAGGCCAATGGTCAAGCAATCAGTCACATTTCCGAGTCTCAGCTCATGGAGATTCAGCATCAATGCCAGGAGCAGGAGATGATGAGGAGAGCGGTGGAGGTGGAGAGGGACAAGATGACAGAGCTGGTGCAAGTGCTTCAGGACAGGTGAGTGGGTGGGGGGCGGTGGAGGTGGAAAGGAGGGCAGTGGAGGTGGAGAGGAGGACAGTGGAGGTGGAGATGGAAAAGATGACGGAGCTGGTGCAAGTGTTTCTGGACAGGTGAGTGGTGAAAAGAGCAGGTGGAAAAGGGGGAAGGTGAGGAGGAGGGAGGTGGAGGTGGGGAGGAGGAGGGTGGGGCAAGATGACAGAGTTGGTGCAAGTGCTTCAGTACTTGTGATTGGAGGGGGGAGGGCAGTGGAGGTGGAGAGGAGAGTGGTGGAGATGAGGAGAAAGGGGAAGAGTGAAGGTGGGGAGAAGAGTGGTGGGTGTGGAGAGGGACAAGATGACATATGCAGGTTCTTTAGGACAGATGAGTGGGGAAAAGAGAGGGTGGAGGAGGGGATAGTGTGGGGAGGAGGATGGTGGATGTGGGGAGGGGGGGTGGTAAAGGTAGCAAGGAAGGTGGTGGAGGTAAGGAGGAGGGTAGTGGAGGTGGAAAGGGACAAGATGACAGAATTGATACAGGTGCCTCAGGACAGGTTATGGTTGAAGAGGGGAGGTGGGGTGGAGGGTGATGGAGGTAAGGAGGAGGATGGCTGAGATGGGGGGATGGACAAGATGACAGATGCAGGTTTCAAAGGTGGGGAGGGCAGTGGAGGAGAGGAGGAGGAGGGGGGAGGGTGAAGGTGTGGAGAAGAGTGATGGGTGTGGAGAGGGACAAGTTGACGGATTCAGGTGCCTCAGGATAGGTGAGTGGAGAGGAGGGAGGTTGGAAGAGGGGGTATTTGTCGGGAGGAAGGTGGGGAGGAGGATGGTAGAGGTGGGAACTTGTTTGTCTCTATCCCTGTCTCTGCTGTCTTTGTCTCTGTCTCTTTCTGTTTCTTCCTGTCTGTCTGTCTGTCTGTCCTTCTCCCTGAATGTTTTTTTTTCTAAAACTTCAAACAAAAGCAGCCTTAAAAAATGTTTTGATGTCAACACAATCTGTATTGGCCTGGCCTGATAGTCACAGATTTCAATATTACTTGGGTCAGGGGGAAGTGAGGGGCTAAAAATAGCTGAGAGCTATAAGGGTTAATGAAGTCACTTTTCTTGCAGACTGGCTGAGGAGACCCAGAGGCTAGCAGAAGCTCAGTCAGAGCTACAGGCACAGAAACGTCTGGCTGTTGAGCTGGAAAAGAGACTGGGACGACAAAGCCTTGATGGTGAGTCTCGCAGCTTGGTAATGTTCTAAAGTGGAGTCTGCTTAAACCAAAATCTGTGGAACCACTGGATTTTCTTTGGTTTAGCACTGGGTTTTTGTTTTAGAGAGGTTGCTCATTGGAAGAAAAACAATAGGGATTGTATTTTCTTTCTGTCCACTACTGTTCTCGGGTTGAGTGTGTTCAGTTTATGCAGATTCCACTATATTTATTTTTTTACTTTTTGTTTTTTATGGGTTTCAGTTAGGCAGCCATCAATAGAACAGGGTTTATAGCTTTATTTTCCTTACCTTATTTGAAATAGAATCTTGTCAAGTCCACCTTTTTTCATAGTTATGAACTAACCTGCTACAGAAATAGAATAAAAATAAGTTTGATTTCCATTTGCAATCTATTGCATTCAAAGCAATGTGGAAGATGAGTGTTTATGTAACCAAGCTCTGAAGACAAAATCCAGTTTGTTGAGAATCTTGATATGCCTTAGAAACAGCACTCCACACCCACTATCTGAGAAGGACCCAGTATGTGTTTGGTACCACAGGGTGAAAATTGTGCTTTTGAATCAAAATCTTGATTCGTAAAAAGAAATTGCATCTTTTTGCTAAGACATAATTTTAGTTTTCCCGCTGTCTTGATCAATGTAATGTTAGTAAAACAGTAGAGAGACGGAGTTGGAAGACAATCACATCATGTACAAACAACAACTTCCGCCCTTGCATTTTAAAAAACAACTTCAGCCTGATCTCAACTGGTCAGACATTTTAGCTTCAATAGAGGAGTTTTATGGCATTTGCAACACAAACAGTTGATATAAATGCCGAAGATTAGAGGTGTCTCTAGAAAATAAGGTACAAAGAAAAGAACGGGAAGACATAAAAAACAATATATGTTTGATAAAAAAGAAGAAGCAAACCACACCAGAGAACCCACCAACCACCCTGGGTCAGACATTGTTTTTCCTTGTTTTCTATTTTTCAGCCCAGAGAAAGGGCACGGCTAAAGGCAAGGTCAGTGCCCGAGATGGTGGTGATGAGGAGACGGACGAGGAAAGCAGTACGGAGAAGAATGAACTCTTGACCAGGTCCGCACCTCTTTTGGCTTTTCTTGTTTTGTTATCCCTGTTTTTATGTTGTTGTGATAATTATAATTTGAATTAAATGTTGTTGTTTTTTGGGGGGTGCTATTATTCTGTTATTATTATTATTATCATTATTATTTTTTTTTTTTTTTTTTTTTTTTTATTACTATTATAGTAGTATTAGTTGAAGTAGTAGTAGTAGAAGTAGTAGTATTTTTATTATTACATTTTATTATTATTATTATTATCAATTAGTAATGTTTTTTTATATTTGTATCATTATTATTACTTATTATTACTGTATAATTTTTTATGTTATTTTGGTTAGGTGTTATTAGCTATTATTATTATTATCATTATTATTATATGTGTCGCAGAGGGGTGGAATCAGGCACTCATCAATTTTTTGACATAAGAAGTTATTGCTACTAAATTAAGCTTATTTATTTTCTTAAACTTGGTGGGAAAAAAATATTGATATAGTGTTCTATCTTTAAAGAAGATGTGCGTTAAAATATGTTCCTCAATTGATGGAGAAGATATCTGTGCAAAAAGAAAAATTTTATGAAAATCTCCCAACAGCTGCAAAAGTAGTAGTTTCTCCATTCCCTGAAATTTGACAAGTGCCTGATTCCACCAGAATGACCCATATATCGTCATCATCATCATCATCATCATCATCATCATCATCATCATCATCATTTCATTAAATATTGTTATCTATAATGTTTTTATCATTATTGAATTCCTCTCCAGGCTTGAGATTCAGAAGGATGAGAACAACTCTCTAAAAGCAGCTCTGCAGAGAACTCTAAAGGCAAAGAACGAGGATCTGAAGGTGTACGAGTCAACCTTGGATGAGACCAAGAAAGTTTTTCTCGAGGCTTTGAGACAGATGAAAGAGCAAAAGAAGCCGTCTTGATGTAAATTATTGTGTGTAGGTATAAATATAATGTCCTGAAGCTGAGCGTTTTGGTTTCAGTCATGGTGATGATTATTTTGGTTGACTTGAGCAGATGAATAAAGATCTCACAGACTATCAAAAATCTTGGTTTCATTTACTTGACCTTTAACATTATAATAATGATTATAATTGCATTTATATAGTGTATATTCATGCTCTACAGCACTTTTATATAGTGTATATTCATGCTCTACAGTATGCTCAATGCACTTTACAACTATTATTACTCCAGCAGACCCAAGAACAATCAGAAACATTCTTGGCTTTCTCATGAGAAGCATGCAGTGCACTCAAGGACTAACAAACTGACAAGATATTTTGCTGTCCAAATCCAGGTACTCATTTGCACCTGAGTTAAGTGAGGAAAATTTGTATAAAATAGCTTTCTCAAGGACATATGGTTAGGCCCGACAGGGTTGTTTTTTTTAATATAATAATAATAAAAATTATTATAATTATAATACTTATAATAATTATAATAATATTAATTTTAGATAGCATTTGTATAGCGCAAATCCTTGCTCAACAGCAAGCTCTATGCGCTTCACAGTCTATACTATTACCCCAGCAGACCTGAGAGCATTCTGAAACAACCTCAACTTCCTAGGAAGCATACAGTGCAATGTAGGTATTTTTATACCCCCATCAACACAATTTAGATCACTAAAGGAGACATGCTTCCCCTACCTTTCTGGGCCAATCCAGGCTGAGAGAGAGATTCTGGCACCTACCTGAAAGACCTAATAGAAAGTCGGAGATCATCATCATAAATTGCCATATCTGAAACAGACATCAGCCAACATCGTACTTCATTCTTTACTCCGCTCAGACGCTTTCAAAAATTCCACATATCTTGGTGTTTCCTCTTCACCTTTTTGTTCAGGTTTTCTGAATCACCTGCAGAGAAAGAAACCGACCCCGATCTTCCACCTACGTACAGAACATATACAGCTTAACTTTCGTTTTTGAACAGAATAAAACTAGAACTTCCCCCAATGTGTCCTTTGTGTGACTATGCATATTAAATATTACCATGCATTCTGTTTTCTTCATATTCAACATGAACCCTTTCCGTTCACTTTCTGTCTCAAGAAAGGCTGAGATACTCAATAAAGGTTGTCCTCTCTCAGAAATCAACTTCAGGGCTCCCATGTGCGACAAAGAAGTTGCCTAATCCCTACACCACAGACACCAGTTAACAGGTTTCGAACTCATGACCTTTTGGGTACGAGCCCAACAGCCTAACCACCCGGCACTAGACAACCGACCCCACTGCATAAATCCATCACGCCCTGCCTCTCACATTTCCACCGATGCCTTGCTCTTTATCTTTCTTTAAGTTTTTTAGGACCATGTCCCTGACAAGAGAGATTTTACACTTCATTTTTAAAATACATACATTCCGGCTTCTTTTTCTTTCTGTATTCCACCACTAGGCCGCAAGGGTAGGCAGTTGTAAGTTCCTCCCACTCACAGGGCAGTTGATTTTACATTGTCCACACCCATCAAGAAGCGTGTGTTCCTTATCTTGCAGGCTGCCTGCATTGCTGTTTTTAAAGTTATTTTACCTGTCTACTTTGCTTCAGCAGTCTGCTTTCTTCAGCTTACAATAGCCAGGATGTCTTTAAAGTGAACAACAGGGACGTTCAAGCACTGGGCAATCATCACCCCAGCAACAATAGTAGAAATTCCCTGTCATACGTAACCAGTACATGCATCAATTACTTTCTCTCTGAGGAGCGGTTAGGTTTCTTGTTTGTTTTGTTTTGTTTTATGTGTGTGTCTGGATCGGTGTGGGGGGGGGGGGTGTTCCGCACCCTTCGACAACGCAACTTATATCATTTAGGAGGCGGGTTTCCATCCCGCCTGTCAGGGACAACAGGAGCCGAATGGGATGCCATAATACAACGTTTCAGCAGAAAGACCGAGGTAATCGATAAAAATTCTCCCCACACAGGAATCGAGCTCAGGCCTAGAGCGTGCGACGAAGAAATGCCTAACCTCTACACACACACACACACACACACACACACACACACACACACACACACCAGTAGTAGTGCGTTACCCAGAATAACAGGCTGCCAAATAGAGGCCGTGTGGTAATCACTAATTATTATTCTGGATAGGCTTGCACTAATTGAATGCACTAATTGCATAACAGCACTCGGAAGGGGATAGATGAAATAAATGTGAGCTATCATGGTGAAATCAGGCGCTCGTCATAATAATGACATCGACGATACTGGCTTTTTTTCCGACGGCTTGGCAACTTTTATCGATTTTTTGTGTTTTAACTCAATACCTTCGATCTATCTCCATTTAAAGGAACACTATTCTGTACTGATTTTTTTCAGAAAAACATCGATTTAAGGAACAAAAAATGTAAATTTTCAGTTTCTAAGGACTCTCAAGCTATGAAAGTCACCAAACTGTGGTGGCCATTTTCTTGGTAATTTTACCGCTGAAACCAGGTGACCTCCACCTCCTTCAATCGCAAATATTTCGACTTCTCAAGGGGTAGGGGGTTTTCATCAAAAGATGGACAAAAGGACAAGCTTTAACTCCACATGCCGAAACACTGACGAGTGCCTGATTCTACCGCGTTGTGACACAAATGAAAGGTTAACACAAGCGCGCTAAATTACTGAGATGTGTGTTTTTTGTAAGGGGGAGGGGAGGGGCGTAGCTCACGCTGACAAAGATCAAAACGAATTCGCTAGCATATTATTGGGGTGAACTTTTGAGAAACATGCAACGGAAAAAATGGAGGCACTAACTTTATGAGGGTGTATAATTATGAGTGTATAATATATACAGTCTGTCAACGGCTCTGGAAGACGCATTGTTTTGGGTCAATTTTAAAAAGCATAACAATTACTTAGTTTTTCATACATAAAGTTATTTTTCAATTAGATTTTTTTTTCAGTTAAAACTCTTACAGGCGGACTGCAACACTTGTACTACAAAATGTTATACAAATCTGTGTTTCTGATTCGTGTTTTGAGCCGAACTGAAATAAATGTAGATTCCAAGGCTCTAAATAGGAAGAGATCTTATATCAAATACTTGGTCCAGGTGTTTAGATGGCGCCACTGGTAGGTCCTACATCTTTATTTTCCTTATGTTGCTACTGTCTGTACGTCTGTCTGTCTGTCTGTCTGTCTGTCTGTCTTACCATTTCCTAGCACTAAATGACTATCATTGTGTCAATGTGCTTCTCTTTACTTAAACAAAGATGCATCGTCTGAATTTGAGGGGGGGCGTCGTGGTGAAATCAGGCGCTCGTCTAAATAACAAAATCGAAGAAACGGATACCTTTTCCGCCCATTAGGCAATTTTTATCAATACTATTTACTTATTTATTAGCTCTGCACCATTTATGTCCGTTTTAAAGTACATTTCTGGGTGAAATTTACTGAAAGACTTTGATCAAAGGTATATGAAATATAAATTCGCAGTTTCCAAGAACTCTCAAGCTTTGGAAGTGATCAAACTAATATTATATGATATATAAGTATGCAGTACACACAAACCTACGAGCGAGTGAGAGAGGGGGAGAGGAGGGGGAGGAGGAGGACGAGAGAGAGAGAGAGAGAGAGAGAGAGAGAGAGAGAGGGGGGGGGGGGGGCTCTTGTGACATGCATATATAGATGGGAAACAGAACATCGTTTATTTCCAAGTTTTTATAATGAAATATGTGGAAGCCCTGTAACAAGACGTTGCAAGGAAACAAAATATAGATTCTAGTTTGTTCACTTTCGTTTGTCCTCGTTGAACAAAAATTTTTGTTTATTAATTATGAATGTAATGTGTCTGTGTTCACGAAACTTTGTATAGATCTAGCACCTTTGCAGACCAGCGGCCAAACAAAACCTTTTTTTTTACAAAAGTAATCTTGATGCAGTCATAAAAATGTGTTTTTGGGGGTTCTTGTTGGTGGTGGTGGGTTTTGTTGTTGTTGTTTTTTGTTGTTTGTTTGTTTGTTGTTGTTGTTGGGTTTTTATGTTTTGGAGTTTTTTCAACTTACGAACTACATCAAATACCGCACTTTGTGTGCAGTTGCAGGATCACTACAATAAACGATTTATATAAATGTTGCCTACAACTTGCTCTTTTAGACCGTGCCCCCCGCCCCGGGATTTCAGTCTGAGCTTGTAGATTTCCTCCCTAAACAGTTTAGATGTCCCCACGCGAGTCTCGAAAAGTATGCACACATCTTTTGGACCGCGTTTCACGGGTGTGAGTTAAACTAGTTTAAGTGTGGTTTTAATCAAAATAAGTTAACTTTGTTACGTTTTAGGTGTATGATGTAAATCCCCTATTATTTCTTATCCCGATTGAAGCTCACTCCAAAGAAAACGTGTCAGAAAAGTAGTTTACAGTAGTGACCTCCTATAATGGGCTTTCAGATTCTGTTGGTCATCCAATTTTTAGGCCGCGTGCAAAGATACATGTACGAGAATATTAAGCAGAGCGATGTATTGTATCTCGTTTTAATGCTGTCATACGAAAGTGA